AGCCGCTTCTCACAATCTCTAACACCCACGGATCCTGAATAGTGTCCGCCCATATCTGCCCAAAGGAAGCCAGCCGAGCTCCCACCATCGGCGACAGGGCGGGCCTTATTTCAGAATAATTTTGGCCCTGCCTTGGCACCCCTAGAGTAGGTTGCCCGACCTCCTCGCCATGCGTTACGAAAGAACTCTCTTCCGGGTCGGTAAGACCTGGCCTCCCGATATGGCTCCGTGAAACGTCGCTTCTGCCGAAAGGGCTGCTGGCGTCTCTATCTTGCGAGAGCAACCCAGACTTACCCCCTGTCACTCGCTTGATAGGCTCCTCCAGAGGAGCCCCGAAGATCACCTTCCCAGCGAAGGGAATAGCGCAAAGCCCCTGTTTTGATGCGCCGTCCGCTGACCAGTGCTTCAACCATAGAGCCCTGCGGCCTGTCACTGAGAATGATATCAGTCGCGCTGACAAACGTACTAAGTCCACCGAAGCTTCTGCTACAAAGTCTGAGGTCATCTTTAAGTCACCCAAGGACTCCACAATCTTCTCTCTTGGCACCCCTGACAGTAATGCCTCCTCGATGCCAGAAATCCACACCCTCATAGCTTTGCTGACTGAGGATAATGCAACCGCGGGTCTGCATGAAGCTCCGGCCGTGGCGTATATTTTCTTTAAATCCACCTCCAGATGCCTGTCCATGGTATCCTTAAAAGAGACAGAGTAATCTAATGGTAGAAGCACATGTCTAGCCAGCCTTTGCAAGGCCGCATCCACCTTGGGAGAATTATCCCATAATTCGGAATCAGATGGCCGACATGGATACAACTTTGAAATACGATTTGGTAATTTTCCCTTCCTATCCGGCCTTGTCCATTCCTCTTCAATAATCTCCTTGATCTTAAAGAAGAGAGGAAAGGTAGGTAACTCCTTCTTAAAGTTTGGAAAAAACCTTCTCTGTTTGCTAACGGGGACGGGATCCTCCTCCCAGTCAAGCGCAAGCTTGATAGCGGATATAAAGGGAGAAACCAGCGCAAAATCAAAAGAAAATGCCTCATCATGGACTTTATCCCTGTCCCCCTCTGAGTCCTCCGACTCTTGTGAGGTTGCCTCCTCCACGGGTCTTTCTCTCTCTCTCTCTCTCTCTCTCTTCGCCGTTTTGCCGAGGTACTAAGTCTCGTGTACTCCGATACCCTCTGCTACTGCTTCCTGGATATAAGCCTTGATATCCTGTGAGTCAGAAGCTGCGTCGTTTGCCAACTCTTTTATACAAGTGGAACATAAAAAAAATTATATATCTCATACCTCTCTGACGAACTTTGTGCCGGTTGAACTGGGCTACCTGGGCTCATGGTGGCTTACTAGAGAAAACATACATGCAGATAGATAAACACCTGGTTATATATGACCGAAACGATTGCAGCAGCGATCACTACAGGATTTTACCTGGCAATAGACAGCGTAGAGAGAGAATCCATCACTTCAATAATCTCCTAGTGAAGAGTACAGTCAATTCTCTGGGGGACAGCCAGCTTATAAAGCACTGCTGCCCTAGGCTGTCAGCGTTGAGAACAGCCAGCTGTGAGCCTCGGTGTGCGCTCCACGCTGGTCCGCCGTCCGGCCCGCCCCCTGCAACCACCTGAACCAATCCGAGAGTGGCAGGAAGGGGCGGGACCCTAATCCTGCTGGAACGCAGATGAACCGCGGCTTCCGCTACAGTACACGGCCAGGGAGGAAGGCGTGCGCTCCACCCTGGAACGCATATGCCGACCGGAGGGGAGAGACAGCGTCTAGCCTGAAACGAACGTCACCATGAGCCGCACTTACCCAGCCCTGCCGCCTGTAACCCTTTAGATTAGATTGTAGGGGTGCGGGGGCGGAGTTAACCCATTGGTGTGCCGACATGAGGTGAGACAGGAAATATATATATATATAACACAGTATATGTGCCTTATCTCTTCTGCTTTATTGTTTTGTTTCTATGTTGAAGATTCTACTACATAGAGCTGCTGGTTGATTCATACCGGATATTAATAAATCCCGGGAGTCTAACTAGCTGACAAAACTGAGATTCTTACCAGGTAAGTTCAATCCTGGAAGTTTCTCCAGTTGTCATGAATCAGGTCGTTTCTGGTCTCAGTACTTATGCTTCGTCCTGCGGTATTCCTGTTTTCATCATTTAGCAGTGATGCCAGCACTAACCTGAGGATTTCTGTTATATCAGGAACAGGGCTGTGGGGGAAAAAAATGTATTCGGCTCATGTTCATACGGTTGGGTATTTCCATCCTTTTTATTTACTTGGGCTGCGTGCCTTTAGAATACTATTTGGCTAAATGCCTTTTTTATGTGGAGTTTGGCTGATTTTATTTACTTTTCCTGCTCTCTTTAAGAGCCCGGGACTTCAATTTGATGACGCATCTTGTTTTTCATCTACTGCGCATCATGTGCAGTCCATTTTTCTAGTTTCCTCCGAGCAGTGTAGTGCGTTTCTATCGACGGTGAAAGTGGACGCAGCAGTTTGCACTCTTGCTTCCTTTGTTTATTTGCCCTCAATTTCATATCTCTTATTGGGGAGAACAGAGAGATCCTGTGTTTTAAAAAAAACAAAACTATTTTACAGCCATTCTTCTGCTGTCTGCAACAGGTGGTTGCGGTACCTCCTATTTTTTTTTTGTTGCTTATGTTGGTTGGGGCCGTTGAGTCTGAAGCAAAATTCTCATTAGCAGGACACTGCGAAAGTGAATTTTCCTTTCCTACTCTGTGTCTTATTATCACAAGAGAAACATCATTGACATTGGTGTCGGTGTGGTTTCTGGTTCTTCTGGTCACATGTGGCCTGTACATTTCAAGGCCTCTGAGGTTTTTGCTATGGTGACCTGTGCTTGTTATATGTTATGTACTTCACACATTGGCCACATGGGGGAGCTCTCCTCTTTATTGCTGCTTAGGCTTGAGGAAGAAACATTTTTTCCCCCCCTGAATACTGATGATGTAGTTTTCCCTCAGTGAGGAGTGGCGTCCCTTATGAAAGTTATACAGCGGCCAGACATTGGTGACACTTATCTAGGTGCCTGGGGCACACAATCCTTCATTCCTGGATTAAGGAACATAGCACATAGATTCAGCTCATGAATACAATACACCTCATGTATGCTTGCGTTATCAGAAACATTGGCATGTAGCTGGGCTGTGACCGATTCATTCAGCATCAGAAAGTAATGGTTGTGCGTTCCTCTAATAGTACATGCTTGTTCTGATCACATTGCACTGGAACAGAGAGCATTTGTGAGTGCGTGTGCGCAGTGCCATTGACATGAATCCACCATGCCCCCCTCCTGCCCCATTTTATTGTGTGGATCAGATGACTGTTGCTTCTCATTTCATACGTGATGCTTGTCATTTGTTGTCTCGTGTGACTGTCTCTTCCATTCCGATAGACAGAGCTAGCTGCCGTAAGTGCTGGTGAGCAGAACCCCAATTACAAAAAGGGACTTTTGCCCTTACCGGAGGTGAGACGGCGTCATTTTGACACTACCTTAGGTTATTTTTTTTTAAAAAGCGATTGGAGGTAAAAGTGAACCCCTTTGGCACAGGAACAAGGAGCTTTTCCAGTGTGTGGAGGGGGCGCCACTCGCTCGTCCCCCTTCTTGCCCTGTGCTCAGATTAAGGGTCTAGTTAGGAATTTGATGGGGTTTTTTCCCCCCTCAAATTCCTACCAGACGGTGGTGGGGGGGAAGGGGGGGGTCGGTGGGGTTGAACCCTATACATTCTGAACTTGGGGTCCCCCTTAACTTTCCTACCAGACCTAATGGGTCTAGTATGGATCGGGAGGTCACTTTATACCAGAATTTAGCAGGCTGCCAACAAGCTTCCTGTGAATGTTAAGCTGTGCTTAAAGAGACCCTGTCACTACCTTCAACAATATTCCTTCCCTTGAAAAATATCTTAAAGCCCCGAGTCTTCTGCTTGGTGCCGCCATATTGGGCATAAGGTCAGCAGATGGAGTTGTCAATCTATAGCAGGGGCAGCCAAACGTCCCCCTTTAGCTGTTGTGGAACTACAAGTCACATGAGGCAATGTAAGATTCTAACAGCCACAGACATGAGAGGCAGATGCATGATGAGATTTGTGGTTTACGACAGCTGGATGGTTGAAGTTTGGTTACCTCTGCTCTATAAAATTCCCTCACACCTTCCCATGCAGCTACATATAAGTTATGCAGGGAGGTGAGGGGCAAAGACAGAAATTAGACACTCGCTAAATTTGTTAGCGAGATTTAGCCCTCATTCACACGAGAAACGGGCGGCCCGTACAGATCCGTGTGGCGTGCATGGCCGTATCGGGCCGCTCCCAGGAAGGACAGGTGCTGCGTGTGATTACATGCAGCAGCCTGTCCTTCTCTATGGGAGTGCGCCCTGTACGGGTGTGGGTGTCCCTGCTCAGACGCAGACAGTATCCATACTGTCAGACTACGGACGTGCAGGTCGGGTGAGCGTAGGGCGGCGTACTCCTATAGAAAAGGACAGGCTGCTGCATGCCCGATACGGCCGTGCACGCCACACGGATCTGTACGGGCCGGCCGTTTCTCGTGTGAATGAAGGCCAAAGACACATTGCAAATGAACAAAATATAAATTATGGAAAAGGGGAGAAAAAAAAAGCTGCAAATGCTCATTTAAAATGCGCTTTTACCTGCACTTCAAGCTGAGGACAGGGTCTCTTTAACCTTCCAAAACTGGAGCTTGATGATACTAAGAGTCTTTTATGAAAGCGCTGTGGAGCTTGCAGGATACACACTGCTCTTCTACCAGCTGAGGTCCGTGTGAACAAGGCCACAATGGACGTCAATATGGTAAAAGTAGCTCAGTGCTTCTCCAGCCTATCAAGTCCCAGCACCTGCTCTCGTCTTCCAGATCCCACGGGTATCTAAATCTCTTCACCACAAAACACTGAATGACAGAAATGACTCAATACTTCAAATAATGGATAGATTTTTATATGTCGCTAGATTTGCCATCAAAAAGCTGTCATTAGGAGGCAGTAGAAATCAGTTGGTACACTGGCCCCAAAGTCCAATGCTTGTTTCCCCGAGAAAAAAAAAAAAGCAACTTTAAACAGCTAAAAATAGCTTGATGCAAAAAGCAGACAAGCTATCGCAATTGCATCAGAGGTGGCAATAGTACATCCCTTTTTACAAATATACAAGTGTCCAATGACTGGGCGTTACAGCAGTCATGTGAGCTTGGCATCAGTGAGGCTGGACAGTATATGGCGCGGCTGAGGGGACATCTACAGTCACAGCTTGAACAGCATTGTAGGCGCCCACACAAGTGATCAGATCTGCAGAGGAGTTCAGTCTGCAGGGTGCTAGTGTCATCATCTCGCAGGTTTCTGGTCAGTAATGCTGAACGGATAACAGAGTTGTGTTTTAGTGTCCTGAGATGAGTGTTATCGCTGGGGAAAGGGATACGTGGCAGCATTAAGTGCTCTCCTGCAGCTGAAGCTTTGTGTTGTCTTCTATGGCTAGTCGTCCAGAAGTACCGTGCACAGTGCGTCCTCCTTATCCATGGTTATAGAGACAATGGCGCCATCGTTGAACTCAAAAGACGTTCCTCCATCTACCACCATGCAAGCATCCCAGCATCGTGATCGCACGCTCACCCTGTGAGATATACATGCATGTTAGAAAAAAGGATGACAGTGTACATAAGCCCCAACAATTAACTTCTCTTATTTGGCCCCTTTTGCTCTGTTACATAGAGCTGTGCTGTGCACTCTGCAGTTCCAGGAAGGATTACAGAACACCTCCCACATATGGAGAGGAGGAGATGTAGAGTTGTTATGTAGCCCTAAAGCTGGCCATACACAATACAAATTCATCAAAGGGCGGCCGAAATTCACACAGTGGGTGCCGCTGTTGGCACTGTTCAGCCAGCATCCCTCAGTCAGCTGATTGAAGGAGCCAATCGGGAAACCTTCGGCTAAACTGAGCTAGCAGACAAATCAGCTGCTAGCTCTGTTCAGGTATTCTGACAGCGACAGCCATCAGAGTACAATGCAAACAGTGGGAGATTCCTCGATCAGGAGAATCAGAAGGAATCTAATATTATCTTTGTTCAGTCTGCCGATTACAGTGTATGGCCAGCTTAACAATTCCTGTCCTAGGGCGACGTCTCTCCTCAGACATGAGTAAGTGTCGTCACCCTAGGACAGGAGGTGTGTTACTGGCAGGATCACCCTCCAATGACTGGTAAGGTGCAGTATGTTACATTTTGGGTTTAGACACACTTTAACACCATCAGCACCAAGTTAAAAAAAAAAAAAAAAAAAAAACCCAAAAAACAGTGAGAAGGATTTAAAAGAAAGCAGTCATGAAAGAAATGCATTAGATTGGTTAACTCCTGAAAATGCTACTTGGCTGGCTGTCCTGCTGATTCTCTGTGCTTAAAGTGCAACGTTTCTTTTTTTAGTTTTGGATAGATTGGAGAGGGATCACAACCGTCCTCAGAGAGGGTGAATATCCCTAAATGGACACAGACCGCAATAAAACCCAATTGTCATGGTGACCATCATCACAGAAAGTGAAAGAAAGTCCCAAAATGTTAAATCGTCATCAGGACAGGAATAGATGGGAAGTCTTCCAATGGGGATACTGGTTCTGGTGACCAGCAGACACTTCCCTTACTTCCTCTTGTGACTTTCAGACAGGAAGTAAAGATACATCTCCCTAATGGGACACAGATGGGTGACTATAACCTTCCCTTACTCTATCCAAAGCAAAAATAAAAAAGGTTTTGGCTTCAGTTCTACTTTAAGGAAACATAGGCTACAATTGATAACCTCTCCTGAAAATTCTAGTCCCCTGGCCCTGACTGTCAAACTATTCCAATGGCTTCAGTACTAACAAGGAACATGCTGGTAAAGGGATAACAAGAGTGTCCGCTGTAATGGTGGAATTCTCCATCTTGGGCCCTTAGACTCCATCACTTCTGCCTAAAATGATAGATTCCTTTTTAAGTGGACTGGGACAAGAGGGGTTACAGCCATTTAGTGATCTTGTACCAGCCCGGTGTACCCCTCTACTTGGTAAGCAGTTGGAGGCCAATTCATGAAAAGGTTTCCCACAGCCCATTAGCTGCAAACAGAAACCACCTTTTTCTAATACCCCAAAAATATGAAGAATGCAGAGCAGTCCGAATGTTTTTATTCCAGCCCAGCATTCTCTATAACGACTCTGAACTACGCGACATTCGATTGGCTTGAAGAGCAACACTTACTTGGAGGTAAATCCACAAGGGTGGCTACTAGAGAAAACTCTGTTGGCGATTGGCTCCCGAACACTGAAGAACATCTTCTGCTCCTCTGGGTTGAATATCAAAGAGTCGTTGTATTCATTGGTAACTATAAAAACGACAAAACGAATATTAATGAGAACAGCAAAGAATGGAAGACATTTATTTATAGCCCAACTCCAGTCAGTTTATAAAGCCTCCGTATGTAAAGCTGCCGGCCTGACCCTGAACCCAACGTGATCAATTCCTAATATTCACAAATGACATCTCGGATATGATCCACCACAGGCTGCTGGGGAGGCTTTCTTGGCTCTTATGACCAGCCACTGTTCTTCCTAGAGTGCACATGGACTGGTTGTGTAACATCCCCATTGTAGTCCCAAAGGACTGCACGGCTGTCATCACATTTGGCAGTGGGCACATGCTTTGTAAAGATCTCCCGTAATTGAACCATCCCCATCAAATGACTGGCATGGCGGGCGTTCAGTGACTGCACACCAATGTCACAGGAGGCCCAGGTACCCTGTTTCCCCAAAAATAAGACCTACCCCGAAAAGAAGACCTAGTACAATTTTTGGGAATTGCTAAAATATAAGACCTACCCCAAAAATAAGACCTAGTTGTGACCATTCCCAGGGCCGGTGGTGGCATAAGGGGGAACTTGAAGAGCCGCAGGAGAGAAAGAGCGGTGCCAATGAAGCCAGTGCTAGAGGAAGTGAGGCGGCACCGGAGGCAGCAGAGCCGCATAAGCTGATGCTTCCTCTATGGCGTCGGCTCCTGTCATGAGTGATACCAAATGCACTCCGCCTGTGAGGAATCCATAGTGAAAGTGCGCTTCGCTCATTCTGGCCAGCAATTGGTTACCAAATTGCTCTTGGAAAGGTACGGCACCCCTGATTGCCCTGATCACCATATTTTTCTACATGAATAAGTGCGGATTGTTGTATATTAAAAAAAAAATAAGACCTACCCCGAAAATAAGACCTAGTGTGTTTTTTTGAGCTCAAAAAAATATAAGAGTGTCTTATTTTCGGGGAAACACGGTAATAATGGGACATGAAGTTCAGCGAGCCGCTCAGATGTGACGTGCAGCAGCTCAGTGGACCCTCCTCCTGCTAGCCCCTCATAGAATGAATGTTGGGTATTTTACTACAAAATCAGGGGGAAAAAAAAGACTCTTTCTGCACACTGCAGCTTCACATCAGAAAATGAAAAAAATAAAAGTAGAACTGAAGCCAAAAGTTTTTCCACTTTACTTGGATAGAATAAGGGAGAGTTATACCGCATTAGGTTTGTTCGCCATCTGTGTCCTACCGGGGAGATTTCCCTTCATTTCCTGTACGATAGCCAAAATGAGGGAAATCCCTGGTGGTCAGCAGGGTTATAAGAACTAGTGTCCCCATAGGAACATTTCCCAGAGGGTGAATCTCCAGAATAGGGACACACAGAGGGTGAATCTCCAGAATAGGGACACAGACAGAGGGTGAATCTGCAGAATAGGGACACAGACAGAGGGTGAATCTCCAGAATATGGACACAGACAGAGGGTGAATCTCCAGAATAGGGACACAGACAGGGATTTATTTAAATAAAAAAAAAACACAGTTGCACTTTGGTTTAGTGGCTTCAGTTGCACAAAGGAGAACTCTTCCCAATAGTCTGAGCTGGTGTGTGGCACTGCAGCTGTCACATGTTGGCTCTATAGCTTGAGAACTGAGCAATCACAAATGGCTGATCACTCAGGATGGATTCTCTCTGCAGAGATCGGTGACTGTTAGTGACAGACGGGGGGAGGGGGGACCGGTCTAGGTCTAGGGAGGCAGAGTCTGTTGTCAGTCAGGCAGAGGGGTGGATCCCGACAACATTGTTCGGATCTGTCCCGACTTAAGCAAAACTTTGCTGTCAGCGTATAACAAGCAGTAGCCCGATATATGCTGACTTTGGGTCACAGGAGGACATTAAATATACTCCTGTGACCCTAAACAAAACTATAGCCTAAGAAAAGGTTTGTCTATAGCTGTCTTTTAAATGTGTTTTCTGTGAGTGGGGCTGGGATGGACAATTTTATGAAATAGTGCCTGGATGTATTTATTTTTAATTCATGTGTTACTATTTGCAAATGGGCCAGTGCCATTCAACTCATGATGTGAAATGTGAAGACGGCTTATAGGGGTTCAAGGAAAAGGGAGAATGAAATCTGTAAATAATTGAGATACAAGAAGATTTTTTTCTCGGCTTTAAAAGGAGAACTATGAGATGAGTGATTTCCCCTCACTTCATAGTTCTAGCCGACCTGTGACAATGAGACTGTCACAGGTCGGCTCAGTAGATTGGGAGGTGAGCGAACACATACCGGCATTCGCTCCCCTCTCGAACCTGTCACAGCTGGATTTCCCCCTCCCCGATCCTCCAGCGCTGACTGGCGGAACGGACGGGGGAGGGTACAGCTGGCTCTGCCTCTAGATAGGCAGAGCCCGCTGTCACTCACGCAGCTGGGCGGATCCAGACATAATTGTCGGGATCTGCTTCAGCTGCGGCGTCTCAGTATACCGCGAGCTGTAGCTCGAGGTATACTGAGCTTAGGGTGACGGGAGGACGCTAGTTTGTGTCCTCCCGTTACCCTAAGGAGAACTATGGGGAAAAACCCTAACTCCATAGTTCTCCTTTAACATTATGGATTATTTTGTGTAGGTCAGCAAACATAAAATGACAACAAATCCCATTTAGTTCAAAGTAGAAACATTACAATTATCTGGAAAGGTGAATAATAAAAAGAATTATATGCAGTGCAAGGGCCTACCGAAACCGTTCATTCACATTTGATCCAATCAGGAAGAAGCATACACTACAACGCTGAGATCACAGAGATTTACCAATCGGATTATATATTTGGCCGGCTTTATTTAAACTGGGAGGTAAAAATCTGGAACCCCTGAACTTGGGATAACTTTTTCCCTGTTTACATTGATTGCTTTGAATGCCAATCCGTGTGAAATCTGCGCACACTCACCTCTCTCTAGGAAGTCGTCATCCAATGTCACATTCAGGCTCTTGTGCCTTTTAACTGATAAAAAACAAAATGACTGATGAGCTGCGCAAAAGTGGAAGGAGTGATACATATGTGACAGGAGATAGGAAATTGTACCAGGGATTACAGGAACCTGACCTTCAAATCAAAGACACTTCGGCTGAAGTGGTGTATCTGTGATTCCTCCATGGAGAGGATAGGACACCTCATGTTTGGGGTCCCTCTACTTTCACTATAGAGAATCACAGAATACATTGGAATACTGAGCTGTGTGTGACCTGCTTGTATGGGCTTATATTGGAGAATGAAACCATGTTATAACTTCCATAAGCAACATCATCTGTTTTGTATTTGAAAAATGTATAAAAACAATTAAAGCACAGATCGAGGACTCTTCATTGGTGGCATCTGTACCGGGTCCTGGGTTCAAAATACCAACAAACCAATCTACAGGCAGCATGTGTGTCTGTGTGCGTGTGTGCGTCCTCTGGGTGCTCCCGCTTCCCCTTTCAATCCAAAATACTACAATAAGGGAAGGTCAGGCTTTAGTACAAAATTGGCCCCATATTTACCTAACTGTGGCTGCTTTGGATACCAAATAACATACATTTTCCATCTTAAAAACTGTAAAATGGGAATTCTTGCCGTGCCACATTGGGGTCTATTTATGACCAATTTACAGAGCCATTTGCCCTACAAACCTTTCTGAATGTTTGTTCTTAGATTTTCAGGTCGATGTATGTAATACTGTATTGTGGCCACAAGATGGAGTATTTGAGAAGTATTTCCTTTGCTCCATCTAGTGGCTATAATACAACATTGCATTACATACATTTGACTGGAAAAACAAATCTACAGAGAACGTTTCTTTTTGCGTCTAGAATAAATGCTCAGACAGATTCATAGGGTGAATGGCTCTGCAAATTGGTTATAAATAGACCACATTATCTATTGTCTGCAATATTATAAAAGGCATACACTGGCTATATTGTAAGCAGCCATTGCTGTGCGGCCTCACGGACACTGACGGCTCAGCGGTGACTGCGGACTGCGCTCCTTGTAGTTCATTCTTGGGGGCTTATTTGGAGACCTTACAGTTTTGGATGGTTGTCCACTTGTCACATTTTCCCCCACCACCACCTTTATTTTGGGGGCGGGGGGTCCTTTATGTCCTTGGGCACGCCTCGATCTTGGGCTCTTGCTCTGCTGGCTTGGCCGGGCACGCGCCGCTTGCTACTCTCTGGGAACGATCAACTTTATCTCGTTGAGAAAAAAATACTATTCCTGATATAAGAGGCATGTATGTGCTATATGAGTACAAGAGTATATTACATCAAATGTGTGTGTTATGGTCATTTATCCTCAGATTAGAAGTCTGGAATAGTCCATTTGGAGATCAGTTTGCTCTTTCCTTCTTTGAAATGCGTACATATTAATTATGTCTTTTTAAACTTTATATAATAAAGAAACCTTGTTTTATCATGTTGTAATTGCTTGGTTTTTGTCACGTGGTACCCTAAAAGCCCCGTTCTTTTCCTTTCTGTGTCTATAGTACCAGTACTATAGAAGACACAAACTGTCTATACTATAACACACTTGTCCTGTATACGTTAAATCCACTTACCAATTTGAAGTATTTCTTCTACCGCCTGTGGCGCCATCTTGTTGATATTGTAAGACCTGAAACATGAACAAGTTGTAATGAGAATACAAACGGCAGTCAATCATTTCCTTCTGCGAGCCCTACGGTGTACATTGAGTGATTCAGCTTTAAAATGTTGCGCGATTACAAAGAGTGCAGAATCATTTAATTGTCCAGATATAAATCAGCATTAATTTCCAGACTTAGCCACACAGGAAGGACACATACCAAGGAGCACAATAAAGTTTGGTGGTTAAAATAGAGGTCGGGTATCGGGAATCTTCAGGATATTCCTAAAGGTAAACAGACACTGGGTTTCAACAGGTCAAATCAATTCTATTTATAGGTACGATTATGTTAAAGAAGAACTAAACTCTGGAAGCTTTGCTCCGCGGAAGGAGAGGGCAAAGTGCCAGTCAGCAGTATTGTCCGTGATCTTTCCCCCACTACTGACTTATGTCTTGTGCTGCAATGTGTCGCTGAGTGGAGGCGGCCATCTTGGTAGAAGCAGGGCTTTTTTTTTTGCTTAGCGGTCAAAAACGATCCTTGATTTGACCCCATTAACTATTAGAAAGTCACATGAACATATAATAAACATTCCTAACCGTATATACCCAGCTTTAGCATTTTTGTTGCCATTGCTCTCTCACAGCTTCGAAAGCCCCATGCAGTCCAAAGCTGGAGAGAAATTAGCCTGCCGTCATTATAGATCACTCCCACGAGGACCTTGGCATGTCTGACAAATGGGCACAGAAATTAGGACGAGCTGTAAATTGGCAAAATGCAGAGGTGATGGTGATTATGATGGTGGTGGTGGTGGTGGTGGGTCAGGTGGTTCATTCTAAAATATAAAACACTGGTCAAGTTTTTACAAATTGCACTCTTCACAGCAGAGGAAGCAATGCAGATGATACGGACAGAATGTTTTTTTCATGCAAGGGGAAGGCAAATCAATACACTTTTTTTTATCCAAGTGGAAGCCTTGACTTGTTTCCATCTTTATCTACATACAATATATATTTATCTTAACGCTTCTAAGAATACCGGTACCCAGGGTAGTTAATACAAACCCTCCTCTACCTCTTTCACACCCCCCTTAATTAAACCTTCTGCTCCAGACTTCTAAGAAGTTCTACCTGAAAACAGGCTCATGACAGTTGCCTCATCACTCGGGCTCTGCTCTGGACATCCAGATGTGGCGAGTCTGCAGCAGTTGGCAAGTTGAGCAGCTTATATTTCGGTTAACTTTAAAAGGAGAACTATATCTAAAGGAGAACAATGAGGTGAGTGATTTCCACTCATCCTCATAGTTAGAGCCGACCTGTGACAAAGAAGCGGTCACAGGTCGGCTCTATTGATCAGGGAGTGAGTGAACACATACCGTCGCTCGCTCACTTTCCGATCATATCTCTGCAGAGTGCGGTGACTGTAAGTGACCACTCCCCGCGGGGATTCCCCCTTCTGATCCTCCAGCGCTGATTGGAGGAACGGAACTGGCACAGCTGGCTCTACCTCTAGATAGGCAGAGCCAGCTGTCACTCACGCAGCTGGGCGCATAAAGTAAGTATTGGTGGGATCTACTCGGCCCCGGCAATAGCCTGCTATATACGGAGCTTTGGGTCACGGGAGGAGCTTAGTATATGTCTTCCCGTGACCCTAAACCGAACAATGGGGAAAAACACTTACCCCATAGTTCTCTTTTAAACAATGTTCCCTCTGGCAATTTATAACACCCACTACAGACCTGAGATCACTGGGTGACCTCAATTAGGAGCTTCAGTGTGCACCCAACCTCCAAAGAGGTCAGCAGTCCATAGAGTACGGTTCATGTGCAGGCTGATTTCCCTTGGACCTTAGGACAAGACAACATCTACTTGTTCTCCTGGTGGAGGTCATCCACTTATATGAGCTCCGTGCCAGTTAGGTAGAGAGATATTCTAGTATCTTCTCTACAATAACTTTTGCAATGCGCAGGCAGTGTGTCAGTGTCTACTTTCAGACTCTTTCCTACTTCTATCTTATACATTCACTGTACCTGGTCCTACAAACAAACACATTCATGCCTGGGTGAAGCACACCCTACAAACAAATTACCAGGCTTTGGATCCAGTCCCTGTGCACACATTCAGTCCAGAGCTCTTTTGCTTCTCCCAGGGGCCGTCGTCCACAGAGATCTCATAGTAGGAGGCCCTATGAAGCGAGAAGGTAAAACGTGGTTTGCTGAATTTATAGTTCCCCCTGAATGGGACAGAATATAAGTGTGTATCAGGTGTGCAAACCTTACAGCAGTGTATACGGATATCAGAGTACACAGAGCATTGCATCCAAGCAGCAAAAGCCATACAATGATACAATGACTGTGCAGCCTTATGATGAGGGAATGTATAGCAGACTTTCATTATGTTTGGGCTGCACTGAAAGTTGCACAGATGGCATTGGCTTCAGTAAACTTGATATCCTATGGTTTGAACCTGAACTATTTCACTTCAACCATTAGATTCTTGGTATCTTAAAGAGGAACTCTAACAAACTGCTTGAAATGATCCCGCTACGAGGGGAACAAAACCCTGTAACAGAAAGGGAATATTTGCCTATCTAGGAGGTATGTTAAATCTTCCATCTCAAAGAGCTCTGGGTGACCCTGCTATATCAAAAGGTTGGATTATTTGTCTCCCACTGAGCATTCTGGTTCTTCCCAACAACCAATACACAACTGTATCCTGTAGTGACCATCAGGGGTTACTAGGTGAAACCACTATGCACAGCAGGGGGTATACTATACAACACACCTGAAAGTGTTACAAAGGAGCTCTTTGATGGAAGCTTTCAGATAAGGGAAATACATCAGATTGGTCAACCAAATACGATGCACATACAGTTGTGGCCTACCTCTTTCTGTTGTGCGATACACTTGTATAGCATAAGGAACATGACCACATTTTGCAGATTCTGCAACTTTCCTGACCTCAACCACAGCTCCTAGAGCTCACTCCATGAGCCGGCTATACCTCCCATGCAGCCTGGTCTTACAAGACCCATCGTATCTATATATGTACAGATGTGAAATGCAGACTACTACCTCGAGCTACACGGCAGGTAAAGAGTATAATTCAACAATCAAGTGTAGTTTAGTGTCATAATGACCTCTAAGAAGACAATTATAAAAGGGACACGCTTGATAGAAAGAGCTTTTAGAGGGAAGGGAAAGAACTTTGTGCTTTTATAAGCTCTGTTATGATATAGAAAACCAGAAGATGATGATTACGGGCAGAAAATGATTCCTAGCACAAGCTAAGCGTGATGTTAGTAAGCAGACCAAATACACGAGTTAGGATACAAATGCAGAGAAAAAAAACAGACAGCACAATTCTTTTTTGCACAATGTCTGAATTACAATAAAAATATATTGAGATGTCATGGACTGAATAGAGCAAAACAAATCTGGAGCTCCCCTCTCAGGCTGACAAGATGGGCTTGTAAACGAACCAGCCATGGATGCCAAAGGCTCAAACAGCATTCCCCATGTAAGTGTGGGCAGCACAGTGGCTTAGTGGTTAGCACTTCTGCCTTGCTGGTCAGGACACAATCTGCAACTAGTTTTCATGTTCTCTCCCACACTCCAAAGACATGCTGGCAGGTTAATTGGCTCCTGTCTAAATGGACACTGTATGTATGCATGTGAGTTTGGGACCTTAGATTGTGAGCTCCTTGAGGGCAGGGACTGATGTGAATGTGCAGTATGTAGAGCATCTGTCCATCCAGACACAGGTGGCTCCTCTGAAGCATTTTTCCCAAACAATAGGCTATATTGTAGTGGCCTCTATGATTAATACCTGGGTTTGGGCAAAATGTTCAAGGGGAGGAGCCTGTGTCTGGTAAGTTGTTGCTCAGTGGACAATAAGGTTTTAACAAAAAAATAATGGTGGTGCAGCCTGTTTCTTTAAACGGTCCTTGAATTGTGTGGATGGATAGAGAGAGAGATAGATAGATAGGACTGCCCATAAGAAATAACAAACCATTGACATTAAATTACCTGGATGACAGCGACTCTCCAATAAATACCTCGTTCAGTGCTCTTATAGGTAACAAGCAAGGTCCAGAAACTTCCGCTGATGCTGCATGACATGAATGAGACTTTTTACTAGAAGAACAGGATTAAAATGATCTTTTCATGCAAATTGCCAGCTTCACCGTACTCTGCATCATATAACTTCTGGGCACAAATCTCCATGCATGATGCAGTTAAAGAAGACCCTTACATCATATTGATGTTAAACACCACAGTCTGTAAATTAGTATCCTATTTCAGATGTATATACAGTATTTATATACATTGTCACTGTACAGTTTTAATATGGTCCCGACACAGCCTCTGTAATCTGTGTAGAAGTGTATTCTGGACTGGAACTGCCAAACTACATGTGCAAATTTCATTACGGCCAGCTCAGACAGTCTCACTTGGATTTTCTCAAATAATGGGGATCACTCTCCTTATGTTACATCATTGTGGGGGAAGACACAATAATGTGGAATACAAGTGCTCTACTACTGCTGTGCTGTACAGCTTCACTCTTCACACCTGAGCAAACAAAGCCAGCGTGGAGAGATGAAGGTACTAGAGCACTAAATATAATAAAATGCATTAGATGGCAGAGCTGCAAGCTACACAGAATGTCGCCCCTTCAAAATGCTAGTCAGTGACCCAGGACATACATGCAGAAAAAGAAAATCCAAAATAATCCTCTCCATACTTATTGTAACCAAGTATATTAAGACAAAGTAGAAGCATGACAACCAGACAACTAACACTTATAGTGACAGTAAACACAGGAGGTAAATCTTAAAAATCTATTCAAGTCCCTTAACTATTCACAAAAATGTATCTTATTTGTGTATCACTCGGCTGTAGACCCTCCAATCATCTCTGAATTGGTGCTGACACTGTCCTTCCTTCTGGAGGGTGGCTACTTTTCTTCCCCATGGTCCCCGTGTGTGTGTTGTAGTCACCGCTCAAAGCTCACTCCTGTGATGGACTACAATCTCACGTTTAGTTTACTAATTTGTATGGAGATTGTAGTCCATCACAGGAGCGAGCTTGAAGCGGTGACTACGTTACAACACACACAGGGACCATGGGGAACAAAAGTAGCCCCCCTCCAGAAGGAAGGACAGTGTCAGCATGAATTCAGAGATGATTTGAGGATCAACAGGCGACTGATACACAAATACGATACAATGTTGTTAATATCTAGGGGACTTGAATGCATTTTTAAGATTTAACTCCTGAGTATATTGCCACTTTAAAATTAGTTCAGCAATGGCAGCCTATGTAATGGGCAGCACAGTGGCTCAGTGGTTAGCAGTTAGGGTGCCTTGCAGCACTGGGGATCCCCCATTCATATCCCCGTCAGGACAATATCTGCAAGGAGTTGGTATGTTCTCCCTGTACTTGTTTGGGTTTCCTCCGGGTACTCTGGTTTCCTCCCACACTCCAAAGACATACTAGAAGGTTTGGTTCCTGTCCAAAATCGGCTCTGTATCTATGTGTATAGGGACCTTAGATTGTAAGCTCCTTGAGGGCAGGAACTGATGTGAATGTGCACTATGTAAAGCGCTGTGTAAATTGTCAGTGCTATGTAAATAAATGAGGACAGGTTTCCTTTCAATGTGAAGTGTTCAGTTTTGTCTCTCCTTGTTTCAATAGTACTGCATAGCAATCTACCAGGTACATTGAGACTAGAACACACTTAGACATTCCCTGAAATAAGCCTAAACGTTTCACAATAGAAATACTTCAAGATGTACTAGACATAAAAACAAGCATACGAAAATTTAAAAAGTATCTGAGCCAAAGCAAAGATTAGATGTACATTACATACAATATTAAATGCTGCATTAAAGTAAAACTCTATTTATATTCTAAATCAGATGCAGTCAGTCCTGCGATTCACACACCTTTGGCAATGCTGTGTAACCAGACAGGCGACACAACTCACCATTACAGCTTCTTCTTTCACCTGCCTGCAGATAGGACAATGCGGTGCTACTGATAGCCAGCCGGCCATTAAAGAAGGAAAACGGTAACAGCGGCTGTCAGAAATACTAGTGTACCTGGCGGGGCAATACTGTCTGGCACAAGGTGCCGAATCACTTACTGGCCATCCAGAATGTCAATCTTTTAAAAGTTGAAACAGTTCACATGTATGTGATTTAAGTGTGTATTGTCGCTTTTAATAAAAGCATTAAAAAAAAAAAAAATTTGCATGCAAAGTTCATTCGAGCAAATAAAATCTAGTTTACTGCATTGTGAGCGATGACAATTATATCCGATTATTACATTAGATATTTATTGCCTTTTAATTTTTTCAACAATCCATTTAAGTAAATATCACACAACCTAAATACAGGCGCATTACTATAAAGAGTTGGTTCTTCACCTTACTTTGCTCTTGATGACCTCCAGTGTTATGGGCCTTGCTATGCTGTTCCAGGCTTAGCTGCTGGTCATGCAAGTCTACAGGTGTGAGATTGATCCCGGTGCCTTCAAGGTGAAGTCTGATTCGCTGTCGCCACTGCCACCTAGTGAAGACACACAGTACTCTGTTTGTGGTGACCTTGACCAGAGTACATTAAATTCAACAGGCAAGCCTCTCAATACCTACTACTCTATGGAACGTTGCAAAGGTAAAGTACTTTTATATAAACTAGGGTTACACTGTAGCTCAGATTGGAGCAGATGGCCCTTCTGCTAGTAAGGAAATAATCATGTGCTACAAGTCATCACTTCACCAGGAAGCACTGACAGTGAAAATAGAATGCATAGGAGATGTTTGTTCCCTGGCCAGCCCCTGCGGCCCGCCTACAGTCCCCGGCCAGCCCCTGCGGCCCGCCTACAGTCCCCGGCCAGCCCCTGTTCACTAAAGAGGAATGTATCTTTATTGTCATAGAAACTATAGTCTCCATGACGCAATGTTATTCAAAGCAAACCACACAAGAGAGGAGCTGTGCAAAGTTCAGTGCACATACAGGACTTATAAATTGGTAAAAACAATGTCAGAAGAGTTTGTTTTATATATACACAATTGTCTACCAATAAAAGGCAAGCCCTTAAAAATTGGGTTTTAGATTCAGTCTAGACCACAGTGATTTGATTGTGACAACTGTTCCAGAAATGTTTTCCTTTCAACAACCTGAAGGTCATGGAAACTTCAGCTACAGGCACAACAAGACTCCTACCTGAACTCACCGCGATAAAGCTTGTGCAGGGCTTCTGGGAACGAATGGGTGTAATGCATCGGCAGACAGAGGTGTCCTTCAGACCTTGGAGAAAAAAAAAAAAATCACAACACACACAATAAAGTGAAAAACACAGCATGAAATAAAATTAAATTATATATACAGTGTATAATATATATATATGTATTTTTACTTTTTTAAATATATTTTACTTCTATTACATTTTAAGAAGCACCGTAGAAGATTAAAAAACCCCAATTGAGGGCCCATTTAAACCACTGTGGTCTGGTGCAATAATACGCCTTATGCAGCTTATTTGTTTGAACAGACTAGAAAACACACCACAATGCATTAAAAAAAAAAAGTGTCTGCACCATTGTTGCATTGAAGCACGTTGCAACACATGGTAGTGCATTGTCTTGCGTTATGGTGCATCGCAAAGAACGTCACTGCAGAACACAAATACACATAGCATGCATTACCGCAAAATATTGTATTTTTACCTTTGAACAAAAAAAACAAAAAAAAAACACCACCATGGACCAAATCACAAAAGAAAAACCTATGTCCAATTAAATCTTAAAGCACTTAAAAAAATGGATGTTGATAATATTACATCACTGAAGTTACAGATGCTCCAATGGCTTAGAATGTAGAACAGCCATGACCTGATGAAGGACCAAATATGGAGACTTCTGGACACTATGCCATAAACGGAACATGTTTCACAGTATAGAGGGTTTTGGTCATCAGCAGGGGCAGGCCTGCTACTCCTGTAGGTGACACTATACCCTGTAGTAATGATCTAAAAAACAGGGGTAGGCCAGCACGTCACTTCAACTGTCGTGAAACTACAAATTCTCTCATGTCTCTACCACTGTGGTTCATGCCTGTTATAGTCTTGCAATGCCTCCCGGGACTTGTAGGTCCAGCAGGAGTGCAGAGGTTGCATACCCCTGGCTTAGGAGGTATTCAAAGTGACTGTCACTATTTTAAAAATAATTTAAAAAGTCCTTCTTTCAAAGATAAGCATAAAATAGTCACCACTCCCAACATCCACACCGCAAAACGTCAGTCTTGAAAGAGATAAGCATGTTGCAACGTCTAACATCTGGTACACTGGATGCCTGTATCCTCCCCCCCCGTGCTCAGTGGTTCTTCCTGCTCCACCATACATCACCACAGGACACAATAGTGATGTAGGGACCAGAGGGAGGAACCACAGAATGCAGCGGTATCCAACACTCTGGGAAGCATTCTGGATGACAAAGCTTCTTCCCCAAATCACATCTCTCGAAGACAGAGGAGCTTCGCAGCAGAGGGACGGATAGATATGAATATTTTTCTTTACAGGGAAGACTGCCCATTTCTTTTTATCAGAGTTAATTTAAAGTAATCGACTATAAAAGTAAAATTATATGGGCAAGATCTGTTAATAAGTCCTGGAATGTCATTTTTTTTGTTTTTGCCAAAAACGAGCTCTAGGACAGAACCTGTTCACAGAGTCATTACACCTAGAAGTAGGATGATAAATGCATTGGGCAATGGCCAATTCCATCCCAACTTACTCACACAGCATTTTCTTTTTACATATCTTTAAAAGGGAATTCCTGACCAACCGCTACAAAGATAAAATGTGTGTAAATAAATTTTTTAGGAATCACAATATAGGCGTTACCTCTCTGGATCAGTATTTACTCCGATGACTGGTTTGAACCTGTCCAGCACCTTACTGGCAGCGAGAAGCATTGTCCCATCACCTAGGAGAAGAAATAAATACTCAATACAAGCAATAAACAAACAGGACACATCTCTAGATTAAGGTCAACATGTCACCAAAACTGTACTAGTTATATTAACCCCTTCATGACTGAGGCCTTTTTTTTCATTTTTTGCACCCATGTTATATTCCACATTTTAGGCATGAAAATGACTTAAAACCCCCCAAACATGTACATTTAGTGAAAAATGTAATTAAATGCCCCAAAACACAACAAAAAAATACCAATTTTTTTAATGACATAAAATATGAGGTTACAACGAGTAAAACTATACCCAACATGCCGAGGTTACAAATTGCGTGCGTCCGTGAAATGGCGAAAAACTGAGGTACCCCAAAAAGTCCATAGAAGACGCATCATTTTAGAGATACCCCAAAATACTGGCCCTAGAATTATTGCTCTCACTCCGGCGTGCGTGGCGATACCCAACATGTGTAGCGCGTTCGTCGTTTTCATGCGTAGGTGCACCCGACGCGTGTTTACGTGGCGACGCACAGGGGCGGGGGACTTTTAAAAAAATTGTTGTTTATTATTATTATTAGATTTATTTTAATTTAAAAAACATTTTTTTTTTTT